TCTTATACCAACAACCGTTCATTGGAGTTTAGTGAGGAGAGCATGTTGTAATGATGCACCCATTGCTACTGAGGACTGAACGATATTTGGAGCTGTTCCAGGGCGAGTGGCGATTGCGTGACCCAGAGCACTGCTGGGAATTTGTCTCGATGCAGTGTCAAAGGTCAGGCGCCGGGCCCAGCAGCAACGGGGCATGCAGGTGCGCGGCATTGCCTCTGAAGGTGGTAGAACTCAAAGCGCGGCGCAGCATGGAGCCAGTCTGTGGAGCACGTGTCGCCACGCGGGAGAGCGAACGGGAAAACGGAATGCAACGCGGGCAGCGCGCGCAGCTGCGCGACAGCGGCTTCGCTGCTGTTTTGACAGGGCGTTTCGCGGACTGGCGGTTGGCAGGTCCAGTGCAGGTGCAGGGTAGGGGGTGAGGGGATGTGTGTGGCGGATGCGCTATGACACACCCTGTACGTGCCAATGGAATCTGCACAAAACAATTTATACCATGAAGCCAAGGGAGGCGGCTGTCGCCTCTAGAGATGTAGATCGCTGGTCCAGCAACAGGTTGGCAAGCAGCTGCTGTGCAGCAGCAGACACGGCACTCGCTGATCAGCCAGCTGCATGTGCTCAGTTGACGTTTGCATATGATAGCACCACGCTGCTTGTTTTGTGCTACACCGATTCAACGACATTCACACAGCGGCCAGATCTAACTGAACTCAACGCGATGGCTCAGGGCAAGAGCGGGGGCCAGACTAGCACAGCCGTGACTCGGGGAGGCCGAGCGGCTACTGGTGGAACAGTGGGCCCCGCTGGCGGCCTCAGGCAGCGAAGGCCTGCAGGTGAGCGCTGCGTGTTGACCTCGGAGCGCGTCCAGCGACCGCTCCTTGTTTTTATATGCAAGTAGAAACAATGTCTGTCGTACCTGCCTCTGCAGGGGCTCGCCCTGCTGGCGGTGGCCTGCGGTCTCAGGTGATGTCCTTCTACACGGACGACTCCCCCGGCCTCAAGATCCAGCCGGTGCGTTTTCAGAGGTGTTGGTTGAGGTTTCAGTCTTCACTGAGCGCAGGGACCCTACCGATTGCCCACTGCGGCGATCCATCAACGCGCTGCACTGTGGTGCTGGCCTGCAGGCCCCTGTCGTATCCATCGGGCCGAACCGCGGGGCTTGCTGCACCTTCGTTGCAGGTGTGGGTGATTGTGATGAGCCTTGGCTTCATCCTGTTTGTTACGGTGCTGCACATCATCGGCAAGGTGGGCTCTGCTGTAGGGGGCGGCCATGGGCAACTGCTTTGCTGTCTGTCGCATGAGCGTGTTGCTCTCCGGTTGCCCGCAAAAATTGACAATTGGAACTCACCTTGCCCTTGCGTCCCACTTCTTCGCTCTCCGGCAGCTGCGCGGCTGAAGTTGTTGCTGCACCGGCAGCAGCAGCAGCAGCAGCAGCTTAGCGGCCCAGGGGCTCACCCCGCACCAGTGGTGTCCCGCACCAGTGGTGGGCGGCCTCGCAGGGCGGGCCGTGGAGGGGTGGCGCACCACGGCCATTTCAGAATCCTGGCGGGACGGTGGCTTTGTGGGAGGCATCGCGGCAAGGTCCCTACGGACGGGCGGCGCCTCGCGAGTCCGGGGCCGCGCCTCAGCCGCGGCAGCCGCGCTGCAGCGCGGCGCCTCTCAGCGGCGTGCAATCACGCCATGCCACCCCTGGACTGCGGCAGCAGCGGCGCCTACCCCGATTGCCTTTCAAATCCTAGGCGGGCACCCTGGTCCGCATCTCACTCACTCTGCAGTTTGTCCAGAATTTGAAATGCACCCGCCTGCATTCAACCACAATGTGCAGTGACGTTCACACCCACGCTGCCGTCTTTGTTCCTCTCTGGTAACTTCAATCACCTGTGTGCGCACGACGCAGGCCGTCGCACCCACGGCCGGCCACCCTGCAGCCGCGATGGATGTCACCGCACGGCGCGTCCCATTAGCAAACAGCCTTCCAGCGATTTTCACGTAATTTTCAAAATCGCAACGCAGATTCTCCGCGACGATCAGTCGGGGGGGGGGGGGGCTTTGCTGCGCGCACTTGGGCGCTGCTTGCTCAGCAGCAGGTGCCTTTCAGACTAAGGGGGCGGCACTTCTCAGTGCCAAGGCGCCATGACAGCCGCCTGCTCGGCGCCGCAGGCAGTGGGCGTATTTCAGCGTGGCATGGTGGCTGGATGTGAAGGCATGTGGGAGCGCTGATTGAATTAGGCATGGGCTTCTGACAATCAGTCAATGCAGCAAAGAAATCAGGTTCCGTTCGGCCGGCGGCAGCGGCCCCGCCACTGGCGG